CAACCGCCGCTGCCACCGCCACTCAGGGCTCGCAGATCAGGGTTTCCACCACAAACGTGTTCTCGAAGTGACGGATCTTGTGGCAGTTGAGAGCTTCACGCTTCTGGATACCTGTAGGACGAGCAGAGGGTTAACGGAGGGTTCGATTCCCTGCAGCCCCGCAGTCCTTCTGCTACAGGGGCGGATACAGTAACAACACGGTCTGACCCTGAACCCCCAACCCCATCGGTATGTCCCACTGGGAACTGTATAGTGAACATACTGTCTCTTTATTGTCTCTGTGTTTCTTCTAATGAACCCGTTTTCAATCAAATTCCTCATATGTAAAAACCAACTCGACAATAAACCCGATTCTGATTCTGAAGAACCGGCTCTCTGCCAGGATAACTGGTTCCAGTGCACGTGGTTCTATACTGGAACCAGTTTTTTCTGCTTCAGGATTAGGCCCCGGATCTGAACCAGCCCTCCAACGGCCTCTGTGGAAAAGAGTAGTTTGAACCAACTCAGAAGCAGCACCTGGTCCACGTTGGTGGACCGCGGTCTGACCTCAGATTCAGAAATGATGTTGCTCTTGGTTCTCCTGACTGGCCCCGCCTATGTTATCTGGCTGACTGCTGTGATTGGCTGAAGCTGGAGGACTTCCTGTGCCTACCCAGGATGCGGTCTCTGCGCTGCAGCTTGAAGGTGTCTTTGCCGCGGCACAGGTTGTAGATGAAGGAGCCGAGCTGGTCCACGTGCTCCAGGCGCTCCGTCACCATCATCTCCTCCTGGACCAGGTAGGACTGAGGCAGGTAGGTGCCAGCCTGAGGGGGGGACAGGACAAATAAAAACCCTCAACAGTTTGATCCGGAGCAACAGGACGCAGAGTTTCTGAACCCTGTGGAAACCAGGTTCCTGGGGAAGAGGCTTCCTGGAGTTCTTGCTGACAGTTAGATGAGAGAGACGGACTGCGGTGTGGAAGACGTTACCTTGATGTTCAGGAGCAGCTCCAGGAGGTCTCTGGGAGGCATGACGATGGAGGTGTTGAGCGGGATGACGTAGCACTTGTTCAGATTCTGGTCCAGGTAGGCGGTCAATTTCTGAGACAGCAGAGACACATTTACATTCACAGAGCAGTGCTTTTATTTCTGAATAACCAATAAACCTCCTGCCTTATATTAGAGACAGGCTTATATTAGAGACAGACTTATATCGGAAAGAGAGAGGAGGAGAGAGAGACGAGAGAGAGACTACCCAACATCATCAGCAATGCATAATCATTCCATGTTTGATTTTGGCGGATAATTCTGCACCACACCACCCCCTCCCCCTCCTCCTTCTTCCCCGGCGAAGAATGTCAACTATTTTGTCAGGGTCATCTCTCAAGATGTGGAGGACCTCTGTCGCTCGGTTCGACCCCTGTGGGAGTTTGTCCTCGTGGCAGATAAGAGGAGACACGACAGCTGGGACACCGAGGGAAAAAAGTTTAAATAGACTGTAAGTGGAAAATGTGGCTGAAACATTGTGATGTGAGCATGTATGGCTTTATCCACCCCAGTTCGAGCTGGAAGATTAGTTGAGTCAAGTTTGCTGGGCTGTGATAAT